TTTCAATTTCCAATTTTATTTATTTATCAAATGGATCACAACCAGTCGAATCCTTATTATAATTATATTCCTATGAAAATGTAATTTTTTTTATGTATTATTATTGTGAATTTTGTATCATTTTTAATTTTATAATAAAATATATTTAATATTATTTTTAAGTTTTTAAGGTAAATTTTATTTAAAAAATTATATGTATTTTAATTAAAATAATTAAATTAATGATAACTTGAATAAAAAATATAAAATGTGGGGTGAAGTTTTGGTTTCTTATAGACAACCACCATTAAAGTAAAAACTACTCAAATCAACTATAAATTTTTTAAATCCTACAAATCACTTTGGGCCCACACAAAGTATCTTAGTTTACCCATTTAGTTTATTCCCATTAAAGATACTCTTATAGAGGGTTATAAGTGACTTGAGGTAGAAAAAGATTTAAAATATTTTTAAAAAAAATTATTAGAAAAAAGACTTTGAGATTAACAAATTAATTGTTAATGGATTTTTCTACCGGCCATCTAATAAATACTTTGACAAATTAATTATTAATGGATTTTTCTACCGCCCATCTAGTAAATACTTTGACTTTCACATTCAATTTGTTATTCTCCATTTTGTATTATGATACTGAAAATATATAATAAATAATATAAATTATTAAATAAAATAATAGTTATGGTTTTACTTTATTTTCTTTTTTTATTATATAATGTTATCGAATACAATAAATATTGTAGGACGAAGAGGTCAATAGTTATCATCTTCTAAAATAATAATGTCATGTTTAAATAATATTTTTCCACGTCACAATGCAGTTATTTTAGTGGGATAGGTTTGTCCTATACTTATTTCTTTAATTTTGCTTACATACAAAAACATTACTGAAGGGATGACTCCAAAATAAAATATACAAAGCTATTACAGTGCGAGACGTGGTCACACCTGATTATAGGTGAGAAGTTCAAACAGTTTTTTTATTACGTATAATAATTCTCAAATATGTTATCTTGCACCTTTACTTTTAATTTAAATCTATTCTACAAATTAATTTTGTATATACTAATTTTGCTCTTAAAATACAATACGCATAGTTTCAACACTATTACTAAGAAAGAACTAAATATTTAGAGATTGAGTGTCACTTGGTAAGGAAGGAGATTCTAAATGGATTTCATCAAATTGATAGGAGTACTAGTTTATACGCATGAGAAGTTAGCATACTTTCTCACCAAATCGATATCTCATCCAAAGTTTAATTATTTTGTTTCCAAGTCTGGAAACATATATGATACTTTAACTTGTGAGAGGTTGTTGAATGAATAAAGATTAAAATAGAAGAATGAATTTGATTATCCAAGGATCAAGAAGACAATGAAACTCATTGCTTGCAACACAAGTTAATTTTCACACTTAGACAAAATTACCTTTATCTATTTAAAAATTAATTCATGTTAGCTACTATGATGAATGCCTAGAACACCATACCTTAAGTTGCACATTTTTGCTTGTAGTACAAGTAAGAATTCTATCAATTTGAGCTCATTATCATGTTGGAAGTTTAATTGATCAAATGCAACTCTCTCACTCTTTCAACCATTCACATCCTAACACGTTTATGTCCTCTTTAAAATTTATTAATATCGTAATTCAATTTTCAATCTATTTTCCCATCTCGTCGTTATCGTCATTGTCGACGGTTGAATCTCTCCGACGAGAGTAACGTTTTGGAATCACCACATTTTAAACGGCTCGACGAGAATATCGCCACTGATGATCTTAAGAACATTGGACTTGCTATTGATTTGCTCCTCCGCTACGAGGTTCCTCTGTCGTCGTACCTAAATTCACTCTGGCAATGGGAAGAATCCTCTCCGACGGAAATACCGGAGATTTCACTCCTCAATAATATCTGAACGAAAATACTCTCGACTTCTCTAATGAACCAAACGACGACAACTTTTTGCTTTAGAAACTAGTGTTCCCCCTCATGTACCGCCACGGGGAGGTCGCGGCATGGTTGATTACCATTCTCTCCGACGATAAACTCCTCTCAAATTCAAACGAATAAGAGCATTTCAATAGAAAATCCTCCCGTCTGATAAACTTATTCTCGTCGACTTTATTCATAACAGGAGAATGAGGAGTAATCTTTGGCACCAATTGTATAGAGTTTGAGTTATGAAAAGACGTATCGAGGTGGAGAATATTAGTTTGGTCATGAAACGAATGACGAATTCTAACGGCCATGAGAGCTCTAAAAGGAGACTCACAGAGAAGAACACCACAACAGAGAGGACAAATAGCGCACGAATGAAGCCAATCGTCGATTCAATCAAGATGGAAAGTATGCGAACAAAGAGATATAGCATGTACATAATCGTGATCTTCAAATTCAAGAAAAAAAACGGTGTAGTCACGGAGGGATTCTTGTTCGTATTTAGTTGTGTAGATGAAGAACAAAATGGTTTTGATAATAGATTCATGCATATCTCACAGGACTTCTCATGTTTCACAATCTTAGGAATGCAATGTATCACCTTCTTAGAACTTAGATGCCCTAAGCTTCTAAAGTTCAGATGCTCCAATCTCTTTTGCCATAGCCTAACCCACTGTCACCTTCAGCATCTTCGCACTAAGGCATTGAGTTTGAGCTGTTTTCACATTCACTTTGCATGTTATGTTGCTTCCTTGTTCATATTGCATAAATAACTTCTGATCAGAATCAAACAACTTCAAGAGATTGTCCTTCATAGTAACTAAGAAACCTTTCTCAATTAGTTAACCTTTACTCATCAGATTGTTCTTCATGCCAGGAGCATACCAAACATCCTTGATTAGAACAGTTTTATCATTTTTCACTCTGATTTTGACACTTTCCATTCCTTCAACATTAAGGTACTTATCATCAGCACATTTGATCTTTATCCTCTTTCTAGAGTCAAAATTAATAAGTCATTGTTTGTTTCCAATTAGATGATTTGAGAAGTCAGTGTCCATATACCATTAGTCTATCAAATATCCATCATCAGATTCAGAAGTCATTAATAGCATAGGTTCATCATCAGACTCTCCTCTGGCTATGTTTGCTTCTTCTGATTTCCTTTCCTTGTCTGACCAACAGTCAGCAGCAAAGTAACCAAACTTCTTACAACAGTAGCATTGAACCTTCTTCTTGTCAAACCTCTCTTTCCACTCTGATGTTTCTTCTCATCAAAGTCGGAGGCTTCTGACTTCTGATAACCACCACCATGTCTCTTCTTGGCCTCTAATTAAGACTACTTTTAATTCTTCTTACCAGAAGATGCTTTCAGAGCCCGCTCTACCTCTCTTTCAGAGTTTCTCTCAGTCAAACGCAACTCTTGTGCCTCTAGACTACTTTGTAGCTCTTCAATTCTCATTGTGTTGAGGTCCTTAGAGTGTCCAATTGCTACAACAGTGTAATCAAACTGAGGAGTAAGTGATCTCATTACCTTTTCGATGATTACTTATTCAAAGAGAGTTTCTCCACAAGATTTCATCTCATTTGTGATTAGAATCACTCTGCATATGTAATTAGGTAAATTTTCATTGTTCTTCATGCAGAGATTCCCATACTGCTTACGCAGAGACTAAAGTTTCATCTTATTCACTAATGCATCACACAATAGCATTGTACCAGTGTGTCCCACGATGCCTTTGCCGTAGTTAAATCAACAATCATCTCAAACACATTTGTATCCACACACTGATGGATATAGAACAACGCCTTCTAATCCTTCTTCCTCGTTTCTCTATGCATGTTTCTTTGTCCTTCAGTTGCATCTACTATAATCGTCGTGTAACCGTCATTAACGAGATCAAAAACATCTTAAGCGTCAAACAACACACGCATCTGAATCATTCATTGATTCCTATTGTTTCCATCAAATACTAGAAACTTTGCGTTCAAGCTACCGTTTTTGCCGTTCATCTTTGTTCTTGTGCAAATTCACTCAAAATTCACCAACACTCGTGTTTCTCAATCCCTCAGAATCAAGATATGGGATTCTATTTCGATTTTGAACTTCAATTCACTGTGAATTTCAGAATCGAAATCAGTCACACATGCCTCACGTACACTCGTATTTTCCCTTCCTAAATCTGAACCGAAACTTTAGATACCAATTGTTGGAGCATAAGAATTGAAGAAGAAGAAGAAGATGGAAGAGAGAAACATAATTTGTAACTAACTTTTGCTCTCAAATTGAAAAGCAATTACAATGAATTTTTTTACAAACTGAAGTAAGCTTTATAGCTTATATACAAGCTCAAAGCTAAATGAAAATAAAATGCAAACAAATTAAAAACAAATGAAACTGAATCTGAATTACAACTAACACCTGTGACGGATGAAGAAAAAACAATCATTTGATCAGAATTATCATCTAGAATAGTATCGAAAAAGGAGGAAAATGTGTGACTAATGGGAGATTTCAACGCGATTAGAAAAACATCTGAAACAAAAGGATAGTGAATTTGTTATAAGGTATAAGTTAGAAGATTTTGACAATTTCATACTTGAGGCAAAATTGGTAGATCTTCCATTGCATGGTCGAAGATTCATTCAATCTAGACCCGATGGTTTGGTGATGACTCGGCCGAATAAATTATTTATCTCAAACAAGTGGAGTATAACTTGATCAAAAAATACTATGTGGTGTTGAGATAAGGAATCATCTAACCACTGTTCCATCATAATTTGGGAATCAAATCAAGATTCGAAATGGAACCTCGATTCTCTTGTGTTTGGGTTTACTTTTCATTTGAGAAAAGCAATGATTTCATTAAAGATGAAGAGAATCCAAACCTTAGTAATTAAAATTTAACTAATACTGATTCATACATAGTTCAAGCTCAAATTAAATTCAAACTTAGCGTTATAAAGAAATTTATAGTGAATAAATTTAATACTTCGATGCAATATACATTTGTCATCTCAGGTGCGGATGGAATAAGAAAAGAGCCCTAAAATAGAAATTTCACACAGCCACTAGAGGTGAAAAACAAAAGGAAGATAACGGTGACATCGGTGGAACGTCGAACGTCCCCTTGAAATCACTGTCCCAAAACCCAGTCCAATTTGACGGCGTTAACGGCATCTCTTTAATGCAGTTCACATCAAACTCCTCCGTTTTCTCCTTTTTCACCACCGGTTTCACTTCCACTACATCTTCCTCTTCCTCTTCACGGCAACGTTTTTTGTTCTCGCCGGAGTTCGTTTTCTCCTTTTTCAGCACCGGTTTCACTTCCACTACATCATCCTCTTCCTCTTCACGGCAACGTTTTTTGTTCTCGCCGTAGTTCTCCGCCGCCGCCGCCATGGCGTTGACTTCTAATGGAAAGTTGAGAATCGCTTTAGATCCGCGCAGCCTAAAAGCGGCACGATCGTAGGCTTTCGCGGCTTCGATAGCCGTTTCAAAAGTTCCAAGCCACAGTCTGGAGCCACGTTTGTTCGGGTCGCGGATCTCGGCGGCGAACTTTCCCCATGGTCTCTGTCTAACTCCTCTGTAGTGCTGTTTCTCAGCGACTTCCGGCTTCTGTACAACCACTTCCGGTTCCGGATCTTGTTTTCTGAATTGGATCCATTCGGTTTTGTTCGGGAGAGCGATTTCCAGCGACGGTTTTCGCTTCAGTTGAGGAGTCTTCTCCACCGTTGGCTGAGGATAAGATGTTAGCGCTTTAGGGCTTTCAGGTTCAGTTGTTTGAGGTTTGGAGTCAAATTCAAAGATCGGAATCTGTGTATCTGTTTGAAGAAGATCAGTGAAATAATGATCCAAAGAGATTGAAGAATCAGAAGTGGTTTGGTTGGTTTGAAATTGAAAATCAAAATCAAAGCTCCATGGTTGTGAAATAGGAGATGGAAGTGGTGAAAATTCACCAAGAAGATGCAGTTTGATGCGTTTTAGAGCTGAAACTTCATCTGCGTTAGCCATGAGAAAATTTATTATGTGTTACTTAAATTGAAGTTGTAGTTTGTTTTATTAGAAGAAGAAAAGAAGATAAGATTGATTGTGTGTTTGTCTAAGTGGAGTGGAAAAAGGGTATATATAGAGAGAAGAAAGATGAAAATTAATGAGTGAGTGAGGGTGAGTGAGACTTTCTAGTTAGGCGCAAGGATGGTAGAAGGAAGCATCCTATTTCGTTTTCTTAGTAATTCTTTTTTTCTTAAATTCTTTCTTTGCGGTTTGAATAGTATACGATAGGGAACACCTTTGTAAATTTGGTCCTCAACTTGTCCATGTGACTTGCAACTTGTTGATATTAAACCATTATTCACGTTTTTTCTGTCATCTCTCTTGTCGTTACTTAAATGGCGGTCCTTTTGAGTTATATCATATGTGACAAATGTATTATAGGACTTAAAAGAAAAATGATATTCCTACGCAAAATTTTAAATTTGATATCTAGATTGTATTTCATTGTTAATCAATACAATAAATAATGAAATATTATAATAATATTTTTTATAAAAAAAATATAAAAATTATTATTGATATATGTGTTTATATAAAATTATGTGTTTAATTAGTTTCATAAATTTTGACACTTTATTAATCAATTTTAGTTACTGATAAAAATTATTTTTAATATTTAAACGTTTATTAATTAATTTTATAATTATTAATTATTTTTTTTATTTTTTATTAATCAATTTTAATTTATTATTTAAAATTATTTTTAATATTTAAACGCTTATTAATTAATTTCATAATTATTAATTATTTTTTTATTTTTTATTAACCAATTTTAATTTATTATTTAAAATTATTTTTAATATTTGAGTATTTATTTATTCACTTTTTAATTTTATTATCTAACTTTATTTTATTATAAAAAGTATTGTTCATACATTGTGCACGGATATTGTGGACCGTATTATTCACGCACGTGTGTATTGTTCTTCTAACAATTTTCATCACCATTCATAAAAATATATTATTTCTTTTATAAAAAATATTGTTCATCATATAAATACGGGAGCGGTGCATATGATGTCAAATTTTGGTGTAATGTTGGTGCCAACCTAACACATCTACTTAAAAAGAATAGTTAAACTATATCAAAATTTTATATTTAATTGTTTTAATTAGTATCACTTAACACAATAACAGTTGAAAATTGCCTTAATATAACTAGTGATGATTAAATCTTGTTTTTTCATTATTGTCAAATTAACACTCGTGTCGACAATTAAATTTTTACAATGGATCATTATATTAAGAATATAGCAAGTGTGAGTAGTGTGGATAATAGTTTTACATTAGTTAGATATGTGGAGACTTAAGCATTTATAAGTGAGAGCACACACCTACCTACCCCTCTAGTCTCAAATATAAGCAATTTTACAAAAAAGTTCACCCTTTAAAAAAAATGTTGGATGCATTTAAATCTTACTCTCTTTATAATTTTATCCCTATTTTTTTGCTTTGGAAATCGTTAAAAACATGACAATGTGAAAAAAAAACTAGGATATATTTGGAATAGTGACATTGAATGTAATAAATATAGATGTCTTTTGCTTATATTTAAGACTATTGAGATTTTTTTATTGCTTATATTTGAGACTAGAGGGAGTATTACCTTAAAATTTTGGGTAAATATGTGGCGTGTCTCTCACAAAGATGTTACTCTAAAAAGAAGTCTCACAATGTCCAATGATCCCTAGTGAAATAAACTCCCCTAACACATTGGAGTTTTACTTGATTTGAGAAAGCTATATTTTGTGAGATTTAGGTCTCATGATACACTATGTTGCTTGCTGTTATAGAATGTACATAAGTTTTATTATTACCTCTGATTTTATTTATAAAAGAAAAGTTTACTTTTCACATTTATAAGAAAGTTTACCTTTTTGTTTTATTAGTATCATTAGTTTGTGATGGCGATGTTGATATCATATATTTCTTATACAACCTAAGACGTGCCAATAAAAAATCACACACTACAAAAATGAGGTCTCGGAGATGATCATTCTTCTTTTAAGTCATGCAATGTTGGGAAGCTAACAAGTTCTCTTTGAGAGGTCGTAGTAGTGCATTGCATGTAGTGAGAACTTCATTAAGCACTTGAATTTAAGTGGAACCTCAAGTATACATCACAATAGTGTGTGGCGTATGACCAAAAAGAGCTTTGAACATAGACATTTTTAAGCCATTGTAATAGCTTATGTTATTGAAAATCAAAGGATTAATGGAGAATTAGAAGAAGTTAGTGGTATGAAGATGGAAATAAATGAGCACATGTATAAGATATTGTGCATTAAGGTGAATTTGAAAAAAAGTTCATTAAACTCCTACATAGGAGGAACATCACACTTTCGTAATGTTTATATATTTCAAGTTGGCCAATTGGATTGGGCCCCAAGGTTTACCCAATTTAGTGGTTGGGTGAGAACACACTACAATGAAGCATCCACACGCGCGTCCGCCACTATTTGGCCTGTCGGCTCGGCTCGGTCTGATTTTAGGCTTGGGGTTGACCAAACCTTTGCCTTGTCTTCCAAGCTTTAGCGACTGACTTGTTGGCCAAGTTTGCAACATCTAGTTATGGGTCAGATCCATTCCACTCCCCCACGATCTTCTCTAATTTAGGCCAGATCCTCCCCTATAAAAAGAAACCTTCATATCTCATATTTTTCATTTATGAATTCCGTATTCTAAACTCTTCTCTCTCTCTCTCTCTCTCTCTCTCTCTCTCTCTCTCTCTCTCTCTCTCTCTCTCTCTCTCTCTCTCTCTCGTCTACACTTTTTCTAAATTTTATTTTCCGTTTTTGAGTGGCTTGTTTGCGTCATCTATGATTGATATAAAAACAAGATACTTAGAGTGGTATTTATACCATATTCGACTATTCATAATACATTTAGAGGGTGTAATTCTAGTATGATTACCTACCATGCAAGTAGTAATCGTATAATATATAACTAGGTTGTTTTATTCTAAAGGCGGTGCAGTAGTTTGACTGCTTTGCATAATTTTGGACAATATCGCGAAACGTCTTAAAGAGATCGTCCTAGTCCGCGACTCAACCTAGTAATTTCTTTTGTGTCTGCTTTTCCAAAATCGTAACACAAAAATTTTAAGAAGTTTCAAAAACTAGCATGGCTACCGAAGATACTATTGGTACTTTTGCAACTATTGTCTCTAATAAACTATTTGTTGTAACAAATGTCACACTAGGAACAAATAAAAACTATAAGAAAGATTGAGTTTCTTGAACAAACACAAGAAACCTTTTTAGTTTAACGAAAGAGAGAGAAGAGGGAAGAACAAGAACAAGAATTGGTTAAAATCGTTTTTCTATTCACTTTTCCAATTAGGGCAAAAGGTTACAAGTGATTAATGATAACCAACACTTAGCACTCTCTCAAGAACCTGAGAGAGAAACCTATTTATATACTACAATCTAACTTAACCAACTGGATAACTTAAGCACTAAGATATATTAACCAACAAGCTAACTTAAACAACTGCATGCTAAAACATGCTTCGACTATAGCACACACATCTTCGACTCCTGCACGCTTGAATAAGCTTCGACTAGAACATACACAACTTCTGTCAAAACATGAAGCTATCCTTATAGATACTAGAGTTTGATCCAAAATACCATAAATTTCCACCTTGGAACAAACTCTACAACATAAAAGGAACAAACTAGCTTTCATCATGCAGTTTTATCAACTGTATATAGTGGAAGAAATTGCCACTTGGTAATGACATGGTGATCATATATGCAACATTTTGATCTATCAAAACCTTCATCACTTTGACTTCTCCATTTTCGATTTTATCCCTGACGAAATGCAGCCTAACATCGATAGGCTTAATCCATACATCCTACATAGTCAGAGTCGCCAAATCCTTCAACGTCGACTTCACCATCACTCATGGATCCACCATAAACCAAGACCTTGCTCAGGGATCCTTTTATGTATCACATAATCCACTTCAAAAATTGCCAGTATGCCTTCCTAAGATTGGCCATATACCTGCTTACAAGGATCACTCTCTACACCATGTCTGGACTCACATAGACCATAATATAAATCAAAGAACCTACTATACTAGCATACTAAATTCTATTCATATAGGATCTTTCGAATTCAGTACTAAAACTTTGATTTGTACACAACTTGAATTGAGGATTTATCTGTGTTACAACAGGATTTGAATTCAACATACCAAATTTGTCAAGAATCTTCTTCAGATATGTCTCTTGAGATAAGCATAATCTTGATTGCTTTCTATCTCTCCGGATGTCAATCCCAAGAATCCTGGTGGAAACTCCTAGATCCTTCATGTAAAACTCCTCATCAAGTTTAAACTTCACCTTCATAACATTCTCGACATTGTTGCTTGCTATGAGGATGTTATCCATAGAAAGCAACAAAATAGCAAGTGAACTTCCAAGTTAAAATCTAAGGTAAACATAGTGGTTAAACTGACTTCAAATGTGTGTCATGAACTTGTCGAATCTTCTATTCCATTGTCGGAGAGATTGTTTCAAGCCATATAGTGTCCTATTCACTTGCACTCGTAATCTTCATTTCCTCTTTTTGCATATCCTTCAAGTTGCCTAATTATGATTGTTTTGTTTAGATCACCATAGAGGAAGGTTATCTTTGCATCCATCTGTTCAAGTTTTAAGTCAATATTTTCCACCTAAAACAACAACATTCTAATGGATTTATGCTTTATATTAAGTGACAACACATCATTGAAGTCAACTTTTTCTTTCTAAGTGAACTCCTTAACAACCAACCTTGCCTTAAATCTTTTCGACATTAATCCTTCGATTCCTTCCTTAACCTTGAAAATCCATTTACTACTGACTAAACTATCTCCAGAAGGTTTTTTGATCAACTTCCAAGTGTGTTTATCATGAAGAGATTCCATCTCATCATCCATGGCTTTCAGCCATTTAATCTTGTTT